TAGAAACAAGTTGCTAAAAGGCTACTCATAGTCACTCACAGCAATTATAAAAGAGGACAATTTTAAGGTCACCATTCTGTTAAGGTAAAATATGAATTGGCAATAACAATGTCATCAACAACAGGCTGGAACAAATGCCTGTGTCTATGCTGAAACTGGTCACCTGCATAGGAAGGCAGATGCATGCCACACCTGGAGTTACAAGATGTGTTACTGAACTAAGCTATCTCAAGCTAATAAAGAAACAGAAATATCAAGAAGCCAATGTTATCAGACATCATAAACAAAAAGCATGTCAACTTGAAAGTGCTCTGGATCACATTATTGGGCCTTAAAATGTCTAGAGATCTACACTGAGCAGGCTGCAACAGAACAAAAGCTGGTTTAGCCAGTCTTTTTATTTCTGTAATAATACAGGAAAACTGCAACCATGTCTACTTAAGCATTTATCACCAACAAACAATTCTGACAGAACTAAAATATAATCATTCCTCCCGCAGGCTAATGAGAGAATGGCTGGAGCTAAATGGTATCCCACAATAATTTTACATGTATGAAGTGTTCCATTTCATTTAGTGATATTATAAAAGTGATGCATTGGCCATAACATTTACTGTTTACAATCTGCAGCAAGCTATACCCTCCTCAAGGGAGATTAAGTAATCAAGAAAATGTTATTCACACTATGTATTTGAGAAAAATAGATCACTGTGCCAATTACAGACTCTTTCCTATACTGAGAAGGATGTATGCTAGTCTAGAAAGGAGACAGGAAAGAGAAAAGACAGGAGATTTGTTTGCTTCTCAAGTGAAAAGGAGGTCATGCAATCATGCACTGAAAAAGTTTTGCTTTAGTCCAGCAAAGCCTGAAGAAGAAAAAAACCAAGAAACACCAGTTTTGAGTAGCTGCTGAAGACACTTAATTCCAACAAATCTTAAAGCTCTGAAAAACCATACAGTGACTCACAGCACTACAAACAGAAAGATCCAGTAGTAGTCAGACTGCAATTTTGTTTCCAGAGTATCCATTAGAGGCAAATATTTTTTTAATGATAGCATATCTTAAAAGTATTCTTTGTTAATATTGCTTATACACCATTTTCCACTAAAAGAACACAGTGATCGATACAGGCTGTAGTGAATGAAGTGCAACATCTCCAGTAAACAGATGCTACATTATTCATTTCACAGATAAGTAAATGCAAGTATGAAAAATTAAGTGACTTGCTCTAGTCAGAGAGCCAAAAGCACAGCTGTGAATCTCATCCAGATACCCCAGCTTCCAATGATCCATTAACCACTAGACATTAGCCTTTCTAAAACAAAATGCAACCTTTTCCTCACATTTTGCCCTCCTTCTAACAAGTCTGGCAAAGCTAGTACAGGGGCTGTTCACGTGGCTGACTTTTAAGAAACCAAAATCTTTGAAATAAACCAAAAATTATTAAAATATAAGCTCAACTTTACCAGATGGATTACAGAACTCCCAAACCCATCACTGCAGGGCTCAGTTACCTGTCTCTGCCCTTCCAAGAGGAGGGTCAGCAATAGCTCTCAGATTTAAAGCTGCTGGCCAGACACAAGCTTGGTGGGAGGTATCAGGGTCACACATCATCCCAGAAGAACACCTGCTGCAGTCCTGATTCACAGCAGGCACTTACACCCAGGAGCTGCCAGTGCTGCATCCAAACAAGAGGAAGAAATGGATGGGATCATCAGGGAAACGTATTCTGGCCCAACAGCTGCTTCTCCACATGTCCTGTCTCACAGGCACAGATACCTTTCAGCTGCCTTCCTCAAGGCTCTCGGCACAGGCAATGCACTGCAACAGCCCAGTGAGCCAAAGCTTGGCAAAATGTAAAAAACACTCATCAACACCCTGGTTACACTAAAAGCTTTCTGTGCGGTGGCAATTATGTCCTATGCTGTCTCAGCTCAGAACTTGCTCCATGCAGACAAGCATTGATGGGGAACCCACTGCTTTAAGAAATCCTTAATGGTCTCAGGAAGACTTCAAAAGCTGGCAAAGCCTTTAGGGCAGGAAGGGAGGGTAGACACAAAACCACTGATGACAAAATTCCACCAGTCAATGATGATTAAAGAAAATTGTTTAGACCTGACAGCAAGCAATCAATTTGATTGTCACCACTTATAACCTCAAAAATAAATGAGTAGAAACTTGAGAAACAGCACATGCAACTAATCAATTTTACAACACATATTTTTCAGTAGTTTCCACAAATACAAAAGTCTCCTTAAATGCTAGAGTACTTCTCAGATATATATAGCATTTACTCACTCAGAGATTAGAGTTCCAGAACATATCAATCACTTAAGTATTTTTTTAAAAAATCACTAAATAAAATATTTTAGATACCCTTGCTTTAAAAGAGTTGTCTGAACACACAACAGACAACTTTATTACTTTTTAAGAATGAGTAATGAGACAGATTTAAAAGTATTAAAAAAAATCCTAGGATTGAAAAATCATGACCTGTTTCCTAAATTGTTGTGATAAGTCAGAGCATAGATCTCCGATTCAAAACTAAAATCACTCACATTTACATTGAAACATACAACACTTAAATTTCAGAAATAAATTATCAAGATCATTGAGGAAGCATATGGTCAAATTTCACCTTATTGCAACATCACACCATGAAACAAGGTGTGCAAGGTACAATTTGTGCATTACTGTGGGTGTACTAAAACTTGTCAGCAGGATATAAACTCTTCTTACAGCACAAAGGTCAAGGCCATTGGAAATCCATCTGCAACAAAGCCCTTGGAAATATCAGTGAAACAAAGTAAGAAGGTCCAAAGTAAGGGCACAGGGTTTCAGTTTTATGTGAGTAAATACTTTTTCTTTCCAACACAATACATCAGTTTAGCAGTGTGCTCTGAAACATATACAAACTTTTAAAATGAATGTCTTTAATCCTGGGCATGACTATATTCCTACTGATGTTCCACAAGCCACAGGCTTACAGAATTAACCCTGAAGCAGCCCACTTAAAATAATAATAAACCCAAACAAACCCTTACAACATCGCAGCTCCACCACAAAATTTCCAACCATGCCCCAAAATTCTGCATTTAAAATTCCCAAACAAACCAGTAACTACTACACATGGCACAGGCACTCTAAAGTTCCATTTTAGCACTGCAGGTCTCTGTGACACTTCTGTGACTGCAGTGCAAACTTAAGAGCCCAAACACATTGTGCTTCACTCCTTCTATTCCCTCCATTCCATCAACTGACCTTACAATGACAGAACAGCATTTTCTTCCCATCCTTCCCCTTTATCACAACCTTCAGTTATAAAAAGTTCAACAAAATCCCCTCCACCACCATTTTCAAAAGTCAGGTATGTCCCATTTTTATTAACAATTTCATTTCTTTTTTGCAGAAAAGTCTACTCAATGCCAATGTCCAAATCCTCCTTCCTCAAAATTATGTTTCTCTAAAAAAGCTGTTTGTCCCCTGTACTCATTTTGTTCACTCAAGATAACCAGATTTAGAGACAGAGAGCTTGAAAACAAATCTTGTTTTTATATCGTTAGAACACTGTGGATTTGCCAAGGACCACTAAAGAGCTACAACTTCCAACAAATGCTCATTTTTGTCTTACACCTGTTAAAAAATACTGTGCATACTAAACTTGGATTCTATTAATGTTGCTATAGCTGCAGTTATAGCAAACACAGATCAGCCAAACAAAAACCACCAAAAACTCCAAAACCAAACAAAAACCACAACCAAAACACTCAAATCCACAACCAAAAGTGAAAAATTGCAATTTTATTTTTCCACTTCTATTTTTTTGGAAAATTGCACTTTTATTTTTTTCGTTCATTTTGGTAAGCGTCTGAAGTTTTATTGTATATAAAACTCACTGCCAATCAGTTCTTGTTTTGCAGTCAAAGAAAACCTGCTCAACAATCCGAATTTTTGCTTGGGGGGAAGGAATGCAAGACTTCCGTTAGTTTGCCTTAAGAAGGAAAGAGTGGATACACAGCTTGGCAACCCTAAGATTCTCAACACAAAAAACTCACAGCTCCCAGCTGGATATTCCAAAACACTTGGTGACAAAATACACAGTTCCGAGCAGGTAATTTTAAACTGAGTAGCTTCTCTGCTTTTCCCCTTGCATTCCTTGCAATATAGTCCTCAATTACAACAGAACTCAACACTTAGCGAGGTAGCCGCACTTTTCAAGGGATTTTCCTTTTACCCCCGCACCGCACGGGGGAAGCGCCGCACGTGGCGTCACAGGGAAGCGGCGTCCGAATGACAGCGGCTAACGGCGGGGAAAGCCGGTCACGGCAGGGAACCGAGGATCCCGGAGCGGAGGCGAAACCTCCCGCCCCCGGGGCAGCCTTGCCCTGGGGACACCGCTCTCCCGGCACGAAGCCCAGAACTTCCCAGGAGCTCTGCCGAGGCCCCCAGCCCCGCCGTGCCCGCACGGCTCCCACCGGCGCTTACCGGGCGGTGTCGAGCAGCGGGTGCTTAGTGCCCACCAGCTTGCGGACCTGCATGGCGATGTTGCTGAGCTCGTCGCTCAGCAGGCACCGCAGGCTCATGAAGGACGTCGGGTACCCCACGATCTTCTCGGCCTCCGACACCACCTGGCTCCAGGGCGGGCCGCCCGAGGACAGGCACCGCAGCCCGCCGCCGCCACGGACCCCGCGCCGCAGCAGGGCACCCCACATGCCGCCTCCCTGAGGACGCTCCGCTCTCCCACTACGAGCTCCAGCGGGGCCCCACGCGACGAGCGGTCGCGGTCAAGTCCCGCTGCCGGAGGAGCACCCCGGCTGTGTCCCGGCCGGCCCTACCCGTGCCCCGCGTTTCCCCCGGCGGCGGCGGCCGCAGCGGGCTCATTGTGCCCTGGGGGCGGCCATCTTGGGCGTCGCAAAGCACGGCGCGCCGTAAAGCGAGGGCGGCGAGGCGGGCGCTGCCGATGGGCGCTCTGGTGCCCGCAGGCAGGAAGAGCTGCTCGCTGTCCTCCGCCCTCAGGCATCGCGGGGCTCAAGCGCCGCCGCTTCTCTTTCCAGTCTGTCCTTGTCCTCTCCCAGAGCCGTGGCGGAGGATCCCACTGGAGGGGAAACGCTCTCCGCGCCTGGTGCGGGCTCCCGGCTGGCCGCGGATGCCCCCACAGAGCGGGATGTGCTTTGCCTGCGCCCGGCTTGCTACAGCGGCCAGAGGGGAAGAGAGGTCAGGCCCCACCTAAAGTGTTTGGCCCGTAGTCTTCAGCTACTGAGGCATGATTTCTGTGCAGTGTTTTTTTTTTTTTTTCCCCACTGTTACGGTGGTCAGGCATTGGAATAAGTTGCCCAGGGAGGCGATGGAAACACCAACCGTGGGTGTGTTCAGGAGGCACCTGGGCCTGGCATTGATGTGGTTTGGGGGTGACAGTGCTGCTCTGATGCTCGGACTGACGACTGATGTTCTGATCTAGACGGGCTTTTCCAACCTTGATGATCCTATACTTCTATAATTACAGTGTGTGGGCATTCTTTTTTTCCTCTTCCCAGAGTTGTCTGAGGCATCAGCAGCCCTTATTTACAGCATGCTCTTGCCCTGTTGCTGTGCTGTATGGTGCTCTGCTGTGAGCCAGCCAAGGGGGTTATGAACAGCCTCCTTGTCAGCTGAGGAGGCACTTCCAACCAAACAGTGGACATCAAAAGGGACAGCTAATTTTGAGTGCCCAAATGAAGACCTCAGGGTCCCACAGTTCCACAGTGGGAGCTGCTGTAGTATATCGTGTAGTGTTTCCTTAATTCTGAGCATAGCCATCACCGATGCCCCCAAAACTTTTGTGAATTCAGAGAATAGACTTAACAGAGGGGAAAAATTCACTGGCCATCTTCAGAAATTGGGTTCAAGTGACTTCCTCCTTCTCCCAAGGAAGATTATGATGTGTTCTGTCTTTACAATTACTGACATCCATTCCTTCTATATCTTCAAGGATTTGTTGCAACAAATCTGGCAACGTTTTGAGGAGAAAACTGTTCTGTTGACTACATTCCTGTTGAAAAGGACGGTGTTACATTTCTTATCTTTGGAAATACAAGATACAGATCACTTTCCTTTTTTGCATTTTTTAAAGAGAATTACATTGAAGGATACTACTGTAAAAGAAGATGCAAATAGAAAACAATCCCATCACAAAGAAAGATATCTAGGAAAGCACAATATAACTTTTGCAGTTGCAAGGGAGAAGCTGCTAAAGAGGAACACACCCATGTTTCAATAACTATAAAAATATGTTTATTGTTCTGACACCTGAGACTACTCCAAAATTCTAAAGGGTACTATCCTAAGGAAGGGCTTTGACTGTGGACTCAACAACACCTGGACATGCCTGTGGCATCTCATAAGTGACTTCTCCCAATGGAGAGGAGAAAAACTAGAATAGAGAAAACCCATGAGAACTGGAAAGGTAACTTAAGAGTTAATTTTCTGGTGTCAAACCTTTCCTTTCTGTGCTGCCTGTCTCTGAGAAAATAAAGCTTTGCTTTGCAGGAGCTGCCACTGAGGCAGTTCTGTTAGCTGGTGTCACAGAACAAACTGTTGCTAAATAGGGAGTTTCAGCTCATAAACACAGTTTAGAAATGACAGAATGCAGTGGCATGTTTCTGTGCAGAAAGCCTAAGTTAATGAAAATTGCCGGAGGGATGCACTTAAGAGGAGCTACTAAGGCACCTCATCCTGTAACAGTGACAAGTTCCTTGATTCATTTCCTGAGCCATATCCATTCTTGCACTTAATGTGGTTACTGTTCTGTGAAAAACTTAACATGATTATACAATTAAAGTCTGCTTAAAATAATACATAAACTGGGGAGAATTAGGGTTCTATGGGCAATAAGCCTACCATCTCCTAATATGTGAGACTTTAACTTTTTTAAATTTACTGTTCTTAATGTTATTCTGAAAATCTGAATGCCTCTGCACTCTTTATGTAGAATTCTTCTAAGTCCAAGTGGTTTAGAACTAGGGCAAGACCCTTGATATCCACAACACTGCACACTGTCACTAGGGCTTCCTCAGGATTCACCGTCAGTAGGTTGATGTTCCTTAAAAGCAGCAATCGTTAGAGGAATAAAGCAAATATTTTGTCCATAGTTTTCCATCTTTTTTTAATTATTTATTGACCACAGAGACTCTTTGAGAAGATTGTACTGTAATACCTAAGGACTTTCTGACTCTCAGCCCAATGCCTTCCTCCCTCTCCCTTCTCTTAGCAGCCTGAGTCTTACTTCAGTAGTTGATTTTTGACTCCTGGTCCAAGTTCATATTTTCTTTCTCCCAATCTCCTCACTTCTTTGCTTCAGTCCACACACCATCCCTACAGGCTACTGTTCTTTCAATCTTGTCACAGCCTTCTTGTTTCACCATCAATAATCCTCTTGTCTGCATAGCCTGTGTCCTAATCATAGCTCTTCTTATTATATTTGTTTATGGGTGAGACCTTCCAAATCCTTGGCAAATCTTTTGCCAAATTTCAGGTTTAGAGCATGGAGAGTTTCTCAGTCATGCAACCTAATGATATTTTTTAACACAAGGAGAATGTATTTTTTTGCTAACCTCATTTTTCAAACTGAGTGTACTATTTTAAAAATCAGCTTCAGGCTGGCACACCAATCACAGGAATAAATCATTACAAATTAGCTAATGTTTGACAGTTACCGGCATCAAAAGCTAGGGCCCTGTAATAGGCAATGATGGACCAACTTACCCATAGGCATTGCTGTTTGCACTGCCTGTTTCTGAAACAGAGCTTCTCAGTTTTCCTCTCAAAAAACCCCATCAGAAGCAAAAGTATGATGTACTTACCATATCATAAGTTGTGTACAAAACCACATGCTTTTTTTCTTTTTTTTTTTCTTTGCTCATTTCCCCTCAGGATTGGAGAGAAAAATGTGCACTATTTCAAGAACTTCAGTGACTGTACAATAGACATATCTATTTCTTTAGAGTCTTAAGCAAAGAAGAAAACTGAAACTCTTTTTTTTTCTGTATCAATTGACTTTTTAAAGCCTCCCCAGGAGGAGAAAGGAGCCACTGGAGGGGGCCAGTATCAAAGTTGAAGAACAAAGATGACAGGTCAAGAGACACTTCTGTTTACATCAGCATGCTCTGAACCAATGTACCAGAGAATACATCAAAGCCACTACTAATGCCAGGTCTGGATCTCTTTGCTAGCAAATGAAACGTGGAAATATTTTCCTGACTGCCATCTAAAGTAAAACAGTTGCAAAGCACTCTCGTTTGATTGGGAACATTTGGACTTCCAATTTTTCATAGTTACCCTGGCCTTATCCAAAATAAACGATGCCTACAGGAGAATGAGACTAGTGATGTCATATATTGTAGTAAATGTAACCTGTCTACATGACTGAATATTCTAGAATGCTGCTGAGTTTTTTAATATGTTTAATCCCAGGTGCACTCTAAGACTGTTTACAAAAATAAAAGTGAACAGAAATATGTCTGTTCCTTCCAAAGCACCCATTTAGTTGTTGTTCCCACAAACACCCATTCCCCCCTCACCTTTCCCTCCTCCCAAGAACGGATTTACTCCATGGCATCCTGGGAAAGCAGAGAGTTATGATCATTTCTATTTTGGAAGTCAGGAGGTTTAACAGAGAGGTTGTGTGATTTGTCCAAGGCTTTGCAAAAGCCCTAAGGCAAACTGAGAAAAGAATCCACTTCCCTTGACCTCCTTGCCTGTGCCTTGTCTGCAGGGCTGCCTGTCTTCCTAGCAGCTGACAGAACTACTGACAAGGGTGAAGGCCATATTGATCCTGTAGTTAGACACCGAAAAAACACCATCATTTAGCATCAGTTGGTTCCAGTAGGAGTCACATCCTTTGGACAGAATTTGACACTTAGAAGTACTAATTTTTAAGCCTAATTATACCTACTGTAATACCAATATCAGCACTTGATAAGTTGCTGGTTAATAAACGATAAGAAAATGCAGAAGATTTTTTCAAAACAAATAAATATAGCTGTGATACCTAGGGATGCTTTGCCAGAGAAGGTGTATGTAACTCTTTTCACCCTGCACACCAGGCTCAGGGGTACCATAGCTCATCAGGGATAGGGGAGCTCATTGGTACGTGGCATAGATGGAAAGCCGAAGATCCCGCTGGGTCTCATCAGTGCCACACGGGCAGTGGGACAAACCCCTCCTGTGCCACATGCCCTCAGAATGCAGCTGCCTCCTCACTGGCTCATCAGTCAGCACTGCAAAAGAAAACAAAATCAATTGAAATCCCCCCATTTCAGCAAGCTGAGTATGAACGCGAGTAGACGAGTGTGCAGCTTGATAACGCACCCCCTTTGTAGAGTCACTGCTTGTTCACCTCCCCACCCAGTTTCCGTTGTGAGAGCCTCTCAGGCCATCTCCTCTGATGGGCAGTGCTCCACTCAGGGGAATTTGGACAGACACTCAGAACAGCAACGTTTTGGAGCCGAGTAATCTACAATAGAAGGAAGAGGAAGATAAGCGCATTGTTAGTTTCTGCTCATACACAATCAAAGCAGACAAAACATCCATCATCCTGTGCAATATTAGTCTTTAAATATTCAGCTTTATCAGTTCCCCCATTCCTAATCCATCATTAACCACCCCATGAAGTCTCAGCTGATTAGCCCCACCTCTGCAGCTCAGCAAACCATTAACTATTTATTATTTGCATTTAATTGAACATCAGTAGCGGTAGAAAATTCCAACCAGACACATTTCAGAAGCAGAACAAAGGAGATGGTCCCCTGCCTAAGGAATTCATGTTTTGGACAAGAGTGAAGTGCAGCAAAGAGGAAGTGACAACCATGCTTCACAAAGGCTTACCCATGTACCCTCTATTAAATTCCCTACCCCACAAATTTCTAGATTTTTTATGGATTTATTTTCAATGAGTTCCATCTCCTTATCCCTTAAAATCAGAGAAGATGATGTGATTTGGGAGGGTTCTGCAAGAAAAAAAATGTATTTTTTTATGCTAGGTGAAAAATGGCTTGAAAAACTACCTAAATCATGGAACAGTTATCAGATAGTGATAAAACTAGGGATTATAGTCATAGGAAACCGGCAAACACACACAACGTGCACATTTTATGTGGACTAAAATAAATGGAAATTGATTTCTCAGTTAAAATGCTTACTTCTTGGGGATTAAATATGTGTAATTTATGAAGTGTTATTTAGATTTTGCTGGTTTCTATTCACATGCGTAATCAAAACATAGATACTATTCTAAATGAGTGTTTTTTTCTGCTGGTAGTCCTGGGTTTGGACACCTTTTTCTTTCTTTCTCTTTTTATTGCTTAGACTGGAAGCTAAGGCTGGTTGCACATTTCCTCTGAAGTAAATTTTGTAGAAGAAACCAGTGTCTTTGTTACCTCCACCTGGGTTTCTGTACCTTTCTATTTGCGAGTCCCCTTTGAAACATGCCTGAAAAGATCCAGTTCCCAAGAAAGCCACTACCCACTCCCTGAGCAGAGCTGCACAGACAAGCACTCCACACCAGAGACTCAGCACTGGCTTGCTATTTACTGATCAACTTTAAAGCCCAGAGCACTGGAGGAAACAGTTTTCTAAGAGACTTCTCTACCCCTGTGCCCACTCACTGCCTTACCAGGTGGAGAGTAATGACTGTCTGGAAACCAAGCTCAGTATATGAAAGTGAACATGGATGATACAGAAAATGTTTTTTCAATTTGAGTGGGAAAACTCAAGTTAAAACCATTTGAATTTATCCTTGTAATTCTGTGTCCGAACAAAATAATGTATTTTAAGTAGCATTGACTAAATGGCTTTGAGTGAATTAAAAAGCTATCCATTTATAATATACTGTGCTATCTAAATACTTTACCCCAGTCTAGGTAAATGCTTCTGTTAAAAATAGGTATTTTCCAGTACTATTCCCTCTGCTTTTGAATTTATTCTGATGTCAATCTGTTGGAGACAAAAGTGATGACTCTCAGGGTACAAGGGGTGATGCATTTATATTTACCCAACATTCGACTCACTTGCATCTGTTCTCCTTTTAATCCCTGTAATTAAAATGCCTGCCTGCCTCTTCATGAACTAAAATAGTTCATATTTGGACATCACAGCAATCATAGTTGCTGCTGCAGAAGGACAAGAGGAAGAACAATTGAGTTTGGCCAGCACAGTTAAGTAACCTATACAAGGGAAAACATAAGCTACTAATACAAAATAGAATATGAGAGCATTGAGTCAGATGAAAGTACAGCTTGTCTCCCATAAGAGCCAGAATGAAATGATTCAGGCAATAGTTGAGAAATGATGCAAATATGGAGAAATAAGTTCTGTGGTGCGTCCACCCAACTTCCAACTGATTGCATTTTGGGGACTTCTTGAGCCAGATGCTCTGTCAAGTCTATCATGTTTTATAAATGAACATGGAGTGATTTCTCAGATCTTCCAAGTCTGGCTTTTTCAAGCTCTTCTTTGAATCTGTTTGCACCTATTTCCCTCCAAACATCCTGTCATCACAGTGGACACTGTGTTCCCCAGTTTTTTTTTAATGTGTTATGTGGAAGAACCCCACTTCATTTAATTTATTTCAAGCTTCCTATTTGCAGTCAGAACCATTGAGGAATGCCCAAACTAGTCTAAAATAATCTTGAACAACATCTCCATCCATTAATGCTTTATTAATTCCCCTCATCTTCCTTCTTTCCTCTGTAATGCCCTCTTTTTCCTAATTTCTGGAGGGTGTCACAAGCTCTAAAGGCATCCAGTTTTACAAATGCATGTCTATCACATAGCAAAATTCAAATGATTGAAAGCACAGCAGTCCTTCAGGGACAGAGTCTTCTGCAATGATGTCACTTACTTGTAAGTTTAGTCTTAAACTTTGGCACCTCGGTTGCTTTCTGAGCTCTTGAATGACAGTGACCTGATTTTCAGAGGTGCTTAGCACCCACCAGGTCTCCGGGGGAGCTGCAGGCACTCCACAAGCACAAGAGAACACTTTTATGCAAAGCATTTGCCTGACTCTGGGCACTCAAGTATTAAATTGTTGCTCTGGATTCAGCTTCACAGTGTAGTGACACAGGAAATCGTCAGCCCCGGAGTGAAATTAAGAGCCTTAGGACTGGCAGTACAATCCTTACTTATGGTGATTTAAAGTAAGTAGTACTCTTTAATTAAATATTCCTAAATGTGAATATTCTCTTCCTTTTTTTTTCAGGATCAGTGACAAATGCTACAGAGGAGAATCATCCTACAAGTTTCACATACTATAAATGTACAGATTTGCTATATCGGGTGTGCTGCTGGAACATCTGATTTTCAGCTTTGTATCTGTTTCCACAGTAAAACACCAAAACTTCGACTTACATTTTCACCTGCACAATCATCTAATAGATACACTTTCCATCTACCCTATAATTTTTTCTCTTTCTCTGTTCCTCTCTTGGAACTTGTTCAGACCTATTCTCTAGCCAAAAGTGGGTGGATTTCTTTCCCTTCAGTGTACTCCTCTTCGCATTTCTTTTTGCTTTCTTGTCACCTTTCTATGTGTCAGCCTTGTTCCATTTCTTCTCCCCGGTGGCATTCAGAACTCCTGCTACTTTCATACACTCTCACCATTTTAAGCTGCTTTCCCACATGCTGCCTTTCACAGAACACCTTCCATCCACTGATTTCCAAAGCACAGATGCTTGTTCGCTTTCCATGATGGCAACAACAGCTCTAAAGGAAACATATCGTTTCCCCTCCTGCAATTCATGCACAAATGCCTGGCATGTGCTGCCTGGAGAAAGCCTTTCAACTTTGAATTTCCTTGCTTTTGTGGAATCTGTGAAAAAGTCTGATAAATTACAGCTTTGGCAGTTATTTCAAATAACTTTATTTGCAGCCAGCTGAGGTAAAATCTGTCAATGGTGCCATCCTCGTGTTCTTTCAAAGGTTGTTGGTGTTTCATGAGGGAGCTCAAAGTCAAGCTCAAGGTTCAAAGGGAGGCTCACATTTCATTTTTTTTCCAGGAAGGGTAGCTAATGGTGCTAGGACTGCCTTACAAGACATAAGAGCTGAGTTCTAGTTGAGGCCATGAGTCTCTTCCAGTACATGTGTTTTGTCACTTTATCTCTCGCCTGATGATTTCTCATCTGTGAAACAGCTATAATACTAACTGGGAGCTGTAATATTAGTTAACAACAGACAAGAAGACCCCAACTAATCATATGGGTGGCAAGGTTTTGGAGTTGACCTTGGACCTGGTTTTAGTGTTGGCAGTTTGGGCAAGGCCAAGTCTGCAGCTCCTCTTACCATGGCTCAAGAGACACCAGCTGTGACACACAGGGTGCAGCAGCAACTTCTCACATTGTCCCAAGGGCTGAGAGGAAGAAATAATACAGAGCCTTGGCTTTGAAAGACACTGAGGCCTGAGCTTGCAGGAACTGTGGTGCACCTGGGGACATCCAGTGATACTCAGGATAAACACTAGCATGGCAAGGTTTTCCATGTGCGTGAGCAGGATTTCAGTGCATGCTAATGAAAACAAGCACGGTGTTCCTGACCCTCTACTCCCAGAAGCTGTCCAAAGCTGAAGTCTCATGGGAAGCCTTTGCTGAGCCATCTGGGTGGATGGAAGCTATATGTGACTGTCTCCCATCTACACCCTCTGGTGACCTGAAAACAAGTGGTGAGAACATGTCAATTCTGCTTTAACCAGTAGCACTCTGAGAAGAAATCTATAACCACACTGGACTTCAAGAATCTTGGATGAAGAAGGATGATCATCTTTTAAGGCAAAAAATCCTGCCTGTGTAGGATTCTCAGAACTGTCTTTGAGCAAAATCTACTTATGGTAAGAGACAGATTATTATCATTAATGTTACATGCATGATTTAATTAGGAAAAGCCACACAGTTCATGAAAACAAAATATTTCCAGCCAATAGTATTACTAATTACCTAGAAGATCATGAATCAAAACAAATTTAATAAGATGCAGGAGAAAAGGCTGACAAGAATCTCATGAATTTCAGGAAAGAAATGTGAAATCCTGCACGCAGATCAGAACAATATTTGTGGTAACAAAGCTGGGGAAGCAGCTAAAAAGCAGCCTTGCAGGGAAGGCCCTGGGGACCCTGGTATTCAACAATCTGAACAGGAGCCAGCAGTGCAGCCTTGCAGCAAAGATTGCTGGGGTGCACTAGGAAGAGCACTGCTGGCAGGTTAATGGATGTGATCCTCTCTACTCAGCTCTGGTGAGACACACCTGGACAGCTGGGTCAAGATCTGAGCTCCACCATGTCAGAGAGACATGGACGCACTGGAACAAGGACTGTGGAAGGCCATGGAGATGATACATGGGCTGAAGCATCTGATATTTGAGAGGCTGAGACATTTGGGATTGTTTAGCAAAGAGAAGAGGAAGGTCCAGGGAATGCATGATCAATGTGTATAAGTACCCAAATGGGGGGAGGCAAGTAGAAAAGACAGAACCAAGCTTTTCTCTGATAGGACAAGAGGCACATGGGCACAAATTGAAGTATACCAAATTCCATGTAAACATAAGAAAAGTTGGGTCTTTTTTTTACTATGAATGTGGTCAAACACTGGAAGAGGCAGCCCAGAGATGCTATGGAACCTACATACTCACTCAACACATGACTGGACACAGGACCAACCTGCTCTGCTCTGAGCAGCGAGGTTGGTCTGTGTGATCTCCAGAGGTCTTTTCCAATCCCAGCAATTCTTTTATTTGCTAGATATGTGCCCCATCCTAGTCCTGAATATATCTCTCTTATGCATGCCCAAGATGCGTTTGGATTTTTTGACAGACTTTTCACCACATCAATGTGAAGGCATTGCCATTGTATATTAGAATGTGTAACATTAATGTAAATATAACTGAGAAGATCAAGAGATTGAATCACATGTCATGTAGCATTCTGGGGGACGCTGGCAGGAAAACAAGAATTGCAGTAGAAGAGTAATTGTCAAGTAATGACATGTCAAAACTCAACTTTTACCAACTCTAAATCATTTAGTATAGATTAGTGTAGTTCCCTTGATATGTTTCTTTGGGTCCTGGAAAGAAATTAATAACCCACTGTATCTTGTACATGCAATGCAGGGGGTAATTTGGACAAAATGATGTAATGTTTTTGAAAACACGACAAGAAAATTAAAGATGAAGAAACTCCAGAATGACTTTATGAATGAAAAGAACCTGCAATTGCTTTCCATCCTTTGACAGATGTTACTTAAACTGACATACTATATCATGCAACAAAGCTTACAGGGGAAATACAGGATTATGAGAAAATGTATAAATCACTATCATTATTGTAAAAAATTCTTTTATTCTACACAAAGAGACAAAAAGAGTAGGGATACTTTTTAGGAAGAACTTGATGTAGGCTAAGTTACCAGTATTTTCAGGAATTAGCAAATTAATCTATTTCTTTTTAAAAAAGAGTGAAGTTAAAAAGAAGGGAGAGCTTTGTGATGTATCCCAATCTCACACAATCTTTCCCCCTCTTCTCCTGCCATTGTAGCATCTGGAAGTCTTGCCTATTTTTAAAGTAAAACCAGGAAGACTCTCTCCTGCCTTCTTCTGTACGGAGAAGTAAAATAATCAGAAGGGGAAGAAACAGTCATTGTCAAGAAATGGTAGGTGAAGAAATGAATATGCCTTGTCTATAAACATTCTCAGTTCACCTCAGAGGGAGGTTTACAGCTTAGGACTGTTGCAGGGAGCACAAGTCTCCACCCTCACCAGTTCCCTGCTTTTAATGTGTGTAAAAAACCAGGGGCACAGCACACATGGAGTGAGGAGGGTGCCTCAGTATCTCAGACCTTCTCCAAAGCAGCTTTTGGAGATCAGCATTTTAGGTGTCAGCACCAATGAAAGAAGAAATCCTCAAGAAAGTAGGGCTTAGTAAATGCTCTTACCAACCTGTGTGACAGAGCAAGTAGAGCACCACTTTGGACAAAATGAAACTTCAAAAATTCACAAAGTCTCTTTTTAAAAGATTAATTTCATTCTGAGGTACAGACCTTAGCTGTAATGAAGCTGCAAGCCCATAGTTTGTCACAGCCAAGTTCAAGTCTGGTATAATGTATCTAAGTTTTTTGGTCATCCATAGGTCCTTTATTTTTCTCTACTTGATTTTTGGCATTGCATTCAATATGAAAGCATCACAGAAGAGTCACTGAATAACCAGAGTGGATAGACAGAGTGTAGCAGTAGACAGATGATAAAGATTTTTCCCCACAGTCAATACTGATGTCTGGGAAATATTTTTACTAATTTGTGTTTTAACGTGTTGCTCCCTTACAAAAAGGTTTAGTATTGATTGACTTTTAATAGTATGGGTGTTCTCTTGTGCTACAGACTTCTTCTTGCTTACTTTTGTTGTAAGGAACATGAGAAAATTAACAGGAAACAAAAAGGCATTTTAACAGGACCCCTGGAAGTATTTAACAAAGAATCATAGAAACAAGTTAACTTTTCTTTCTGTTTATCAAATTATGTGAGGATTCAGGCCAAAAGAGCAATTGTTATTAATTACTTAATAAGTTAAATAAAGTTTCTCCCTTTTTGCCAGAAATTTCAAAAAGAATTAATGGTGGTAAGGCACTGTCTTGCCGTTAATTCATACAGATTTGACATTGATACCCGAAAGCAGGACAAAAAAAAACAAAAAGAAAAAATAAATATTCATCAATATTAAAATATCTCCAAACATTTCCAGACCTTTGTATTTGGAAAGCCACCACTGCTCCCATTTCAACTGCCATACTGAGTCTGCTTTGCAAAAGCTACCTCTTGACATTTTGCAGAACCACCTCTAATCGTCTAAGGAAGCTCTGGATTGAGATTAGTATCCACAGCAAAAAGGAATCTACAGACACTACTGTGTGCGAGTAATGCTGTGGGCGCTCGTCCAAGCTCAGGAACGAGTGGAATGTCCCCCTTCTCCAAGGTATGGATGAAAAAACATCGCTGAAGTGGAAGTGGGGTTTGGTTGGAACTGAAGCAAGAGAGAAGCTCATATATATGTTTTCCATGTGTATGAAAATGACTGTCTACTTATTAAAAAAAATATATTGGGAGCCAATATTTTAATTATTCACAGCATTTATTTGCTTCTGATGGCATAAATAATCTATCGTCTTAGCGTGCCAAACAAAAAGTCAGAGGAACATTTCCACTTCAAGTCAAACAAAAAAAAAAAATAAACCAACGTAATGGAACTTTTCTGTGAACTCACATAATGAATTTCTTTGTTTAATTAAACACTTCAGCAACCAAATACCTGAATTTAAATTGCTGTTTATTATGGCTTCCCCTCGGATACAGGTGAAAGACTGCATAGACATATGTTTTCCACGGTGACTGGCATTACCAAACAACCTGATGGAGAGCTGACAACACCTTGGCAAGCAGGGAATAATAAGGTAAATTATCAGCAATATTAAGAGAACCCAGTTACGAGCCTCACCTTTACTTTGGCCTGCGACGTCTGGGGCTGCTACTTGGGGGAAAAAAAAATAGACAAGAGCCTCCCTTTTTACCTTCAGCTTTCCCCCTGCGTGTGTGGGTGGACGTGTGGGTTATACGTGCATAATCGCACGCAGACTGGCGCTTAAACACGTTTCGGTGTCCGAGGCTCCATGATGCGTTTCCCACCGCGCTGGGAAGGAGCGGGACAGGAGGGGGAGCTCTCGCCGCAGCCGCCGGGCGGGGATGCTGCTCATCGGGCCGGGGCCGCGACCCCTCCGCCTCCCGCCGCCCCCGCCGGGCAGCACCGGGCTCCGGGATGGTCCCGCTTGTCCCGGCTTTGCCTCTGAAAACCGGCACGTTGTTTGCAGAGCGGCCCCAGAGCACCGCTCGCTTGTTGCTGCTGCCTTCTAAAAACCTTTGGCTTTGAAGCCGTCGTTCTGCTTACATATTTAGCAGCTGGAAAAATCAGGCCTGCTTGTTTATCTCGTCCTCCCCAGCAGGAAAAAAACCCGAGAAGAAATAGCTCATTAATAATATTAAAGAGACTTATGCATTGATAAAGGCCAAAATAAAGAACTTGGAGAAAAGTGTTTCTTTTGTGTTACCTAAAAAGCAGCTCTGGTATGTGGATAGACCCCCTTTTAAAACATTTAAACGTTAATAAATAGAATATAAACAATAGAATATAAATTAAACCTGGGGTGATTTATTTTAGGCAATTCATTTGCCTAATGTAATTTTATATGATACTTATTTTTCAGAAGTCCAAATTACTGTGCTTGCAAAAAACCCAAGTGCAAATTCAGAGCTGGAAGCAAATCTGTGATAGAACAAAAATAAGGAACTTGGTAAAACATGGAGCCTTGGGTGTAGAGCATGTGCTTGAGCAATGGAAGGAAAAGCTCAGGTACTTGCCACGACTTAGAGACCACCAGAAGGTGGACTCCTATAGTTTCTTCCCAACTTTAAAAGTTACCAAAAAGCCAACAAGCTTCAAACCCTTGAACCATCTTGACAGCAAGAGACTTTCTCTAATGCACTGTAGTTAGAGCACACTCTCTAATAGAGTGATTTTAAATCACCTTCGAAATTTCACAAGGAATTTGGTCTCATTAAACTCAGGTGTAAACTCTTCACTGATTCCCACATGATCAGGGTTTCCTCTTTGGCTGCAAACTGCTTACTGATACCACATAATCCAGTATCTCTGTCTCCTAAAATAAATCTGAGCAGTTCTACTGATCCTATACGTCCCCTTTATTCACCTGTTTGCAGAATTCATATTGAGAACTACAGAACAGGATTCTTTACCAAAAATACAGGTTTTTATACAAAAATTATGTGGTGCTGCCACAGTTCAGTAAATGTGTTTAATGTTAGGGTGCCTGTAATGTAAATAGCAGATTTATTTTCTCATAACTTTTTGGAGATGTTCAGATCAATGCCATTGTATGGTTGACAAATGTGCAGCTTCCATAGATTCATATTCTGCCTCCCATTATGAATTCACGAGTTACCACTAAAACCTGAAAGTGTTCCTTTTTGTTAGTCATTCTCTCACACTTAGTAGCAAGTGGAATAATTAGATGGTTTCCAAAACTTATTTCAGTACCTCCGATGTGTGTCAGATAACGTCTGAACACTCTAAATGCATGAACTTCTGTGTTGACAGTTGATGGTCCTCCATATGCTGCCACTAGAAGAACAACTTCCCAAGAATATGCAGTGTAATAATATGCAATACATAAAGGTAATAACAGCTCTAGAACAGTAGGAATCGTGACAGTTGCAGAAATAACCAGCTGTCAGATGGAGATATTATTAGGAGACAGAGAGATAGAACTTTTGTATCCATCCCAGTATTACATTAAATATTGAGATAAACAGGGCATGTTTTAAGACTGTGGCTTTCATCTGGTGGTTGACAAGGTACTGGGGGACTGGAGGTTCTTTTTAAAGAGCTTATCAGAAGTAGCTGAGAAAACGAGCCTACTGTCAGGAGAAATAAGTTCACATCTCCATTCAAAAGTATGCAGAAAAATACTGTGAAAAAACCCCAGCTGAATGCTGTTACTTTTGGTGATCAAGAAGTGAGAATCAGCATTCAGAACTGGTAGCAAAAGGGGTGGGAAGTGCTTCAATTTGCAGCCAAACCTTCAGATGCTAGTCAGGAAAACTGGAATGACAGACTTGATCCCGAAGAAAATTCATTCTGGTCTACTCACTGTAACCTGCTGTAGTCACATCACCTAGGCTTGCAAATACCTTCTGCAAAGTATCTTCCAACATTAAAGGAAGTTCTGTTTATGTTGGGAATTTGAGATTAATCTTTTTGTCAGATTGTCGACTCAAACCTGTTAAATTTATGCAGTGCTTAATGAAACAGTGTCAGGGCTTTATTACGATACACATAGTAAGTGTTGAGAAGCAGTCCTCTGATGTTTCACTGAACAAGAGCATTTGAGGCAGTACTCTATTTAGCAAGAAATTTTAAGGTTTTCCTTAAAACTCTTCCATCCACTCAAGAGAGAAATTAGCCATATGTCTAATACAAGAATTAGTTTTGTCCTTTTCATTAGAATGACACTGTATCAGCAAGGTGGTGGCTGTTTGAAGCAGAATAGTCATCTGAGGCTGGCTGGCTTTTTCCAGCCAAAGGTTTCAAAGAGCCATGTGAGTTTGTGTTTAAAAGCAACTTTCCCTTGTGCTGTCTGTTTTATTCTTATTGTGCAAAAGAATACTCTGAGATTCTAGGAATATCTCCTGTACTTAATGAGAGCTTAACTGTGCCCATTTGTTTGTAATAGAATACGGTAAGCAAAACATAGAGGTGAGGCTGGTGGTGGTGGTGGGGCACGGGAAGAGGGAAACGTCCCTGCTGAGCAACATCTTTTGAAGGTTACCTGTAGCCAAAAATTAGTTTCCACAAGTTTGAGAAATCACTGTATTTTAAAATACTACAAGCAAGAAAAAAAAAAACAAACAAAAAAACAAAAAAAAAATTAAAACCCATAAAAAAAAAAAAAAAAAAAAAAAAAAAAAAAAAAAAAAAAACACAACAAAAAAAACCCCCCTTGTTTTCTTCTCATACTTGCTGCTTGGTGGGTTTGAGCCCAGACCTTGTGTTCCTGGGGTGTGTGGAACAGACCGAGCCCACAGCACGAGCCCTGCTGCGGCTGAACTCCTGCAACTCTGCTGCCAGCAGAGCCTTCTCGGGGGTCTCTGCGAGGTCCTGCTGCTCTGCGAAAAACAAACCATCAGGGCTGGGTTTTTTCCAACATCTGCCTGATTCTTTCAGGCAGCGAGGGGAGTGGCAGCACCTTCGCCTCGCAGCGGCCGTGACCTTACCACTGCGGATGTGCTCTAGGATTTTACAGGTTCAGTCTGGTTGCTATCTCATCTTTTGATGCTCGATGCTCTAACAGCTGAGACTGTGCAAAATCCCCGTTTCTTCTTATTCTCAAAGTCGCGGGGAAAAATGTTCCCCGTGTCTCTAGAAATCACTCTGACAGGCAGGCAAGGCTCATTTTAGTAACGAAACGAACAAAGTTGTGCTCAACTTTTCATGCTAAAAAGTGCCAGTGATTTAAAGCTTCGGAAACAGATAATGTAAATTAAACATTGTTGCACACAAACCGAACTTGTCTTTGACAGGCTAAACAGAGATTTTTATGGGGAGCCTACTCATGCCCACACGGAACGCAGTTCATTTTCGACTGTGGGTTTGGGTGTTTTTATAAAAACCGTATCATTTTAAGGTGCACCGCAGTCATAATGAGAAACCCCGTACGATTACAATTTTGACTGTCGGAACAATGGACACCCCCGTGCCGTAATGCGTTGTATCGGGTAATCAGGGACTGCCAGGGAAAGCGGGAAAGCAGAGCCTAGGAATAATCAATGTATCGCCCACAGTGTGTGCTGTAATCCGGCACCTCCTCGCTGAAGCGCGTCCCACCAAACCATTCATCCGCACCTCCCCGCCGCAGATAAAGGGAAAACCAGGAGTGATCAGGGGGAAAGCCTTGGTGAAAGCGGCGGGGACGGGACGGGAGCGGACGGGACGGGACGAGACGAGACGAGTCGGGTCG